GCCGGTTGTTCCCTGTCCTCACACTACTTGAAAAGTTTGGGGCGAAACTCATTTTTCGAAGTTACCTTTAATCTTACCCGGTATATTAGTAGCCCTTTTCCTCCCGAGCAGTCCAGAAGTAGCCTAAAATCCGCACGCAGCTTCCCTGCACTCGCGCGAGTAGGCTCTGAAACGCAGCTTTTGGCTGCCCAGCAGTGCGGTTCCTCAAGTGACACCGCTGAGCCCTGGGCTGCAATCTGTTAAGTGCCCGGGCACTGTAGAAATCACTCACATGTCACACAAAACCCCAAAGCTGATCTCACCAAGCAGCTCAAGGCTCCTGCCCTCTGCCAAATTGCCTGTTTTTCACTACTTGCTTCTTACAGCGTGGAGAAAAAGACACTAGGAAGAGGTCACTTCACTCATCACATTAGCCTGTGCCAAAGACACTTGAAAATGTTTCATTGCTCTCATCGGGGCACTTGGGAGGTATTCTGGGTTTAAAAAACCTTGCTAGGGAAGAAGCTTCTGGAGGAAAAACAGAGAAAACTCAGTGATTCTTTTTCAGGCTCCTTCCTTATCCCAGCACTCACACTAAGCACATCACAGCGGGTAAATTAAGAGCCAGTGATTCCTGATATCTAGTTCCTCTGAATCTCATCCAAGTTCCTAGAAATCCCATTAAAATTCATAGAAAGCATGCTGAAATTGTACAAAAGCACTGTGAAATTCCTAGAAAGCACCGCAGTATCCACTAGAAAACATTGGTCAATTCTTAAAAAGTGAATGGAAAATTCCTAGAAAGCATGAAAAAATCCCAGAAAGCAGGGGGGTTCCTAAAAAGCTCTGGGGAATTTATATTCTAGTCATTAAGCATATGTATGCTTATTGCTCACTATTCCTGTGATGACCAACATCCACATCGGTGTTGTAGTTACTGTAAAGCATCATTAAATGGTCAATAGGGGAGACAATCAGCTGATAACTGGGTGTCTTGATTTGGGGATTTGTATACTGGTACACAGCATACAGGCTTCTACTGGCTTATATTGTATACTGGTGGTATACAGGCCTTTATGCTTATAAAAACTACATTTATGCTTACACACACAAAACATATTTAGTGTACAAAGACTAGATATGAACTATATAGCAGAAGGTTTGTTGTTACGTATGCTTCTATAGAGAGTTCACCATATAAAACTCCATACATGCAAGTTTTACTATCCTGGACTTTATCTGCTATTTAGTCCACTCCAAGAGAAGGGGACCCAACCGTATCCCCTTGGGTTGGGATTTGCTCTTTCCTGCAGCATGGGCTGTGCTGGGAGAGGTGTCACCTGTGGCCCACTACCTGACTTCATTGTAACCTGTTGTGTGATTAAAAAAAAAGGAAAAAAAAAAAGGAAAAAAAAAACAAAAAGGAAAAGAAACCACAAAAAACGGTTATTTTCTGTGCCAGAATGGAAAATTTAGCAAAGATCAAAATCTTTTTGGCGGCCTTTCCAAGTCATTGCATTTAAAAATAAAAACAGGCAAGACGGGAACATTTTCCAAAGCTTAAACATCCTGTTGTTTTCTTAGTCAAACGTCAGCTTTTAGTTGCCAAAAGAGATTTTATTTTGGGTTTTCAGTTTTTCAGTGAATGGCTTTTGAAGGACAACAAATAAATAAGTTCTTTGAGTTTTTCACTGCTGATGTGTTATTGTTGGTTGGGTCTGAGCACAGACTTGCCCTGAGGGCAGACGGGTTCGCTTGGCCCAACGTCCTGCGCTTGGACAGGGCAATTGCCTGGCGGTGCAAACTGAGTCACACAGCAGAGCCGGGCAGTGTAACCCCAGGACCTTTTGCAAGGAAAGCTGGAGCAACGAAACTGCAAAACCTCTCTGTGTTCTGCAGCATCAGGCTTTCATAAAGCTGCTCTGTCTCTGTTGGACGGGGCTTGTCTAGATGCTGCTGAGCCGTGGATTTCACCTATTCCCACCCACCCCATAAGCAAGCAGCCAGCCCTTCGCCAGGCTATTAATACACACACCGTCTCCAATAATTTCCTGTAAGCAAAGTCCCTGACCAGAGAAATGGCCAGGAAAAAAAAAAAAAGTTGTGGGGGGAGGGAGCTAGAAGAGGGGAATTAAACCTCCCTTTCAGAAAAAAAAAAAATATTCACTGTACCGCTCCTTGCCTTGGCAGCTGGAGGGAGAAGAAAAGCGCAGGGTATCAGATGTGCAGCGAGGAGAGAGCAGATGCTTCCTCGCCCTGTGCCAGCCTCTGGCATGGGCTACCCGGGGAGCAGGAGGACTCCGGTGCCAAGGCAGCTCTGCCGTCCTGGGGGAACATCCTGGGGAACCATCCCGGGAGATGGAGCTCTCCAGTGAGTAGTAGAGATCCCCTGAGGAGGGTGCTGTGTGGTCACCTAAGGCTGGGACGAGCTGACAACCAAGAGAGTGGCTGGGTCATGAAGTTGCCTGCTGCGAGTGTAGGAGAAACCTGCTGTGGGGACGGGGAGGCAGAGTCTCAGCAAACCCCCTTTTCTCACCCCTTTTGCATGCAACTACCTCCTGCAGGAACTAAACCCGGTTTCAGATGGACGGAAGCGGCGTAACCGCTTTAGCAGACACGGCCGAACGCAGCCGTGTCCTCCTGCACGTGTTGAAACGAAGCCAGCCCGCCCTCCCCACCACCTCCATCTTCGCAGAGCCAGGGCTGCCCCTGCGGGGGATGAAGGCAGCTCAGCGCCCGAGACTGAAGGGGCCAGAGCTGAGCTTTCTGATACACGTTTTTCTAGGAAATGGCTCGTAAAGCATGGGCAGCCCCAAACCAAGGTAAACACAGACTCGCAAGAAGACTTGGCTGGCAGGAAGAACGTGGCTTTCTTGCCAAAAATGGAAGGCGGCTGGGAGGAGGGAAGAGGGAGAGATGCTCCATTTAAAAAAAAAAAAAAAAAAAGGAGAGAGAGAGAAAGAGAGAGAAAACAGTTTGGGAAACCATGGGCTCAGAAACAGCATGACAAAGAACTTCATCTCCAGGAAAAACATCGCCCATCCCAGCAGTGGTCCCGAGCAGCCTCACCTCTCATTACAGGGGTGCAGTTTTGATTCTTCCACAGACACAAACTGATGGCAATCCGTCCCATGCCACCGACACTGAGTGACCATGATCTGCCCCATCAAGTAGGGGCAAATCGCAAAGCCCCTGGGCCTGTAGCGGGTACAAGCAGCGGGTTTCATATATGAATGAGCCCGTGAACTCCCGTCTCTGATGCAGATGTTTCCACCAAATTATTTTCAGCTGCCTCTTGTTCATCCCAGGGCCCCAAGTTTTCACGCTTAACGCAAAAACTAAGAAGGATTTCTGTGTAGAGTTAAACAGAGAATGTGTCTAGCCCTACAGGAGGTGTTTTACTCTCTCCCTCAAGAGACACTGGTGGGAGGACTAAGGGTTAACCCACCTTGGTTCTTGCTGACAAGAAATGGACAAAAACAACTTAATGGCAGAGCCACCATAAAGCTGAGAACAAAGACATTGCGCCAATATTTCAGGTATTTTTCCTTCACTTTGAAGGGAAAAAAGTGGCTCCACATTTTTCCTTTGCAGGTTATCTCTGGAGGAACAAAGTGCCCATCATTTCTGCTGACAGCTAACCTCACCCCTGCAGCAGCTCTTCCCTGGGTCACCAGCCCAGCTATTTATACCCTTGTCCAGGGGTGCTCCTGCCACCAAACAACCCTGCCCATCCCAGGTCACAAGCCCTGGGGCATCCCCCGCGAGGGTCCCACATCACCTGGAGCCTCGCTGCCAGCACAAACACACGTAGGTGTTTGCAGTGCTTAGACACCCACACCTGCACACACATGCAGGGCAGCAGCAGTCCTCAGACCAAGCCCCAGTGTTCAGGATATCTGGGGTTCATGGTTCCATATTTCCAGTGGTTTCATGGCCCACCTTCAGAAGGGCCCTGGAGCCCCTACAGGACTTCAGTAAAAATAGGATTTGTCTCAAGTCATCTCTCTATAACATGCGAGTAATACCAAGTCCCCTGCTCACTGGAAGAGATGGCTAAATGTGGGTACATGGACAATATTTTTCTTCACGGCCACCATCAAAAGGCTTTCGTTGTGCAGCCAGTGCCAGGAACTGCAACACAGACTTCTAAGCAAAACTCCAGCCCTGGGCTCCCGCCAGCCAGGCGCTTTGCCCATGCGGAGCAGGATTTCAGGGGCCAAGTCAAGCCAGCCTCAAGCTGAAACCGAGCACTGGAGGCTGGGGCAGCTTCTCCAGCTCTGAGGCACAGAGCAGGGGCCATCCCAGTCCCATGAACGCCAGAGAAACAAGGGCTCCACTAAAACCCATACGACTTCCCTGAGGGAAACGAAATCCTCACTCCATGCGAGAGGCCTCCCCAGGACACCCGAGGGCCACATCAGCACCCTTGGGTGAAGGACTCCTGTCCCAGCAGCGGTTGCAGAGAAGTGCCGCAGGCCTTGCCCAGACCTGTGCTTTCAACACTGCCCAATTTCTCCATCCTGGCAAGGCCACGGGGTTGGCACTGGCTCGGAGCTGTCACTGTCCCGGTTGCTGCCTGTGCTGGCAGAGCAGGAGGCAGGGGAAGAGCCCGGGGCCTGGCTGGACCAGGGCACAGGGACGCGGGGGGGGACGCTCCAGTGTCCAGAATAGAGGGAGGTAAACAG